AAATTATAAAATGTAAAACTATTATGAGAGAGGTCTGGAGCAAATATTAGCCCGTATTTACGTTTTAAATGAAGCATTTTGATTTTAAAGCGAGCTATACAATGCCCGTGCAAATGTGCACGTTTATGCTCGAACAACAACCTAATTACGTATGCTAAAATCCGGACCGGAACTGAAATTGCAGTTCCAAATTGAGTTATTTATCAGTACTACTTTATCAGTATTTTTGGAAGCTCAACCAACTAAATACTCCATGCATGTTGAAACCAGGACCTCCACTTCCCCCTTCCTGGTATCCAAGTCAACGCTGCCTACAGCGTCTAGTTTATTGATGACTCAGATGAGTGGAGCAACGGAAAAAACCTTTTCGTGTTGAAGGTTAGTATATTAATGTTTTCTTTTATTTGTATAGACTAGATTTGAAAAGTAATGATGGTTCAAGGGAATTTATTTCGAGAAGCCTTTAGTCACGCAATCGCCAAACCATGATTTCTGCATGGATAATGAGCCAAAATAAAAGTTCTCGCAAAAAACGCACAATTATTTTCGCAAAATAAAAAATACATTTTTCAAAAGAGCAGTTTCCCAATAGTTGTTGACTATAATCTCATAAGATTTGGAAAGATGGCACATGGGGAAACTTGCAGTTTTCGAGTTGCACTGACGAGCATTGTGACTCAGTGCCGTCTCCTTTTGTTTGATTKTGTTAAGGTATTAGGATACGTTTACGACCACTATGCGCGCAAACTTAAATAACGCGCTGGATTTATAGTATAACACAAACAAAGTATACACTTTCTGAAAGCTGAGTAAACATAGTTTTATGAAGAATTCTTCAAAAAACGATTTTTTTAATTGTTGTTCACATTATTGTCCTCGAAGCGAAATTTGACCATGCCTCAGTGTAAACGTTAACGGACACGTAAATTTTTAGCTATGTTTGCGAAAAATGTCTGAACATACTGAGGAGATAATAAGCTCGAAAAGGATGTCCCAGATTTTGGATATCTGTTTTATATCTCTCGCTATTTTCGATCAAAGTTCGACGATTGCTTTTGGAGTGTTGTTTAGAGTAAAAAACGTCATAACTTTGGAAAGAAATTAAACTGCAAAAATCGGAGTCACCCTTTTTGGATCATGAGTTACTTTATAAACTCTCCAAATTTTAGAAAAATCTAAAGGGACTTTTAGCTGTTTGAAGTTTTGGTTTTAGCGGCAAAACAAATTCGAGAAAAATGCTATTGCAAGACTCAAACTATTGCAAGAAGTTTCACAAACATATGAAAGACAAAAGTTTAAAGCTACGAAATTTCCAAAAAAATTAAAAAAAATTTCGAGCAAATAGTCATCTTTTCGTATCCTAATACCTTAAATAATTCAGAGTCGTTCGATTTTTATAAAACTACTCTTAATGAGCAAATAAGAGTTGTTCTTTTGGTAGAAAGTATTAGAAGGCTATTTGGATCAACAGTTTTGATACAYGGACCAAGCGGACATAAGCAATTTTCAGCCATCTTTTGGCAGCGAAAATCGTCCCTGGAGCTCAAACCGATTTTTCCCTTTTTCTCGAAAACAAAAATGTATTTTTCAAAACTAACCATACATCGTTTCGTATTTCATCATCATAATAATAATAATAATAATAATTACATGTTTTACCAGGGTAAGCTCGTCAGCAAACAGCTGTTATCAAG